TTTCATAGAAAAAGATGGTGAATGGCATTCGATTCATGGTAACCAATATTACTATTCCATATTTTTCTATACCCCAAAAGAGTCTATGTGGGTTAGTTATCTGTCTGTTAAGGAATTCGGGCAAATACTGGGTAATCAACCAGGAGGTACGGAAAATTTAAATATACTTGGTGATAATGTGTAAGTAATATGCTGGTAGATAATTGGTACAATCTGGCTTGCATATTGCAGTCAAACTGAACAAAAACTTGTAATTCAGTATATTTGTCCATGTTCAAATTACATTTCCTACTCAAAACTATGTTATGCTTCTAGACGTTATGAACTTATGCAGAGGTAATTTCATGCTGATAGCTATTTAAAATCAAACCAAATGCCGAATAAATGGTTAGTGGTTAGGGAAGCCTGTTGTGGTACCGAAGGGCCCGGGTTCGAATCCCGGAGAAGGTATGGATGTTTGTAAAATGTCTTTGCGGCGTAGGTGCACTCTAAATATATGGGGTTCCGAAAGTCTTCTCATGTGGTTTGGTGATAGGGTAGAGGGGCGGGAGACCCTAAGACCACTCCAGCGTGTGCTCTACATCAAAATTGGAGTGGAAATAGACGTCCAACCTCCTTGAGGCTCTGGCAACCATTCTTCCATGAAATACATAGACAAGAGACAAGACAACAACAATCAAAATAAATATAGCCTATTAAAATAAATTGCTAAAACTTCATTTTATATCCGGTATCTATCAACACAGTCCTTTCATTTCTGTGCTAATTATAAGAACTTTATATTTAATAGCTTCTAGTCTTAACCTTTTCCGGCACGCTACCTTTTAAAGTCGGAGGTTTGATTAAAAGAAAAGGTAGGCAGTCTAATTAGGCTTAGAGGAGTACACAAGTAAAATTTTGTGAATTTGTGTCACTTATCGTTTTAATTCTGTGGGTGTGCCCAAAATGGGCACACTGATTGAACAGAGCTTCGAAGAGAGTGCTGAAACGAGGATTGTTGTCAATTAATTGACTGATGAGATGCGGAGAAGCAAAGAATACATACTCTCAGTTGTCCTAGATTATCGGTGAGCCCGGTCTGGGCACACCTAGGGTTCGCCGTTTGATTTTAGGCAAGATTTCCAGGTAAAAATTTAAAAGTAATATATAATAAGGGGAATAGCATACAGCCAAAAATATAACATAGAAATTCTTTTCAAACAATTCCTTTTATACCCTAAAAAGTTGGAAGATTTCTTTGAAAAATGAGGGTCTTAAAAAATTAAACATGGCTAAAATATATGGACTGGTTTGTGTTGAGCTGCCATCTACTATAAATAAAGAATGTTCAAATTAATCTATAGTAACCTATAAATCCATTTTCATTCAAATTTTCTGTACGTACAGAAGGAAAATTTTAGGTGTGTTCAGACCGGGCACACTGTGCCGCAAAGGGTTAAGTAAACACGAATTATTAGAATGAAAGCCAGTATCTTTAGGGTTTTACACTTGAATTCAACTCAGATTTGAAACGATAAAACGAGGTACGGTAAAACATCCTTTCCGAGCTTGTCTAAGAACTCTAAAGCTTACGCTTTTCTTAATAAAGGAAAAAAAAAATTACATTGTTTATAATAATATTACGTTACCAGTTTCTCTATCATATCCAGACCAGTGGACATTTGACATTTCACCTTTTTTTCTTCTGTAAAATATTAATAGTCTGTACCTATAAAAGGAATCACCTTCAAGCATACTCGACGTTTAGTTAAATTTTCAAGCATTTAACGCTTTTAGCTGAATATTTAAGCAGTAAACTACTCAAAATAGTTAATAGTTAAATAATTCTCTTAAATGTTTTCTCTAGTTATTAATAATCTCAGAACTCTAGAAACTAGGACTTGTTCTAATTCATGTGTGTAAAGTGAATATGAAAGCAGTTCTGTAAGACGTCCTTCCAAGAATGCATGCTTCTTTCGGCGGGTAAATCTTGTGTGTACATATGTTAGCTATCACGTTTTATTTTCACACTGCAAATAGAAAGACATTTTTATAAACTATTCTGGCATAGATTGCCAATCAGTTCAAGATCAGATAAATATATCAGATTTTAGCATATCTTTTTTAAAAATTCTTTACTATATTCTTGTAAAAAGTATTATAATTATTCGATCTCACAGCTAAAAATTCAAAAAAAAAAAAATAATAACAGTTTACAATTATGATGCAACAAATAAAATTCCCAAGTATAGTATGGGTGAAAACGAAATCCACAATTATGATGATAATAGAAAGCTGAACTAAATTTAGTCATTTTACTTCGTAGAAAGATATGAGCCTTAAATGTACCTATTTACATTCTGATGTTATAATTCACACGTTATTACTCAGATAAAATGCTTTCCTACCAAGGTTGATAACACAAACTGTAACATAAATTGTTGATCATAAATTCTAACGTCTATTTGACCATTTACTATGTTGTTTCACATAATTTTTAAGTTATATCTTCCACCAGAATAAAAGCTCATTCTCCTGCATGGGTTGTGTAATACTTAGTCTTCTTCGTAGCTAAAGTACATAGTTAATCACTTTATCGTAGTTTAAATCTGTTTCTATTGCTACCGTCACTGATGCGAAAGGAGTGCAACGATATATTCCGACCATTCATCAAGATGCTTATAATCTACAAATCTATTTGGCTTATACATCATTCAATTCTAATTGGAGCATAATACATTCATCAAATGCACAAAATTAGCGTCTCATTCAGCTTTAATAACTTAAGATTTTTCAGAAAATTTACGGTACATTAAAGTTACATTGATAAGTTATTTTTAGAATCATTTGTAATAATTCCAAGAATTTTTTAAGTTGAGATATTCTATCGTATATTACGTAAAGATAGATCTTTTGTACATTCAAATTGAAGAAATGAATGTGAAATTTAAAAGGGAATTCTTAATTTATAATAGTACAGATTATTTTCTCTAACTTTAATTATTTATTAAAATGACTAATTTGAATATTATAACTTAACATGAAAAATGCGATTATTAATCTAAATGTAAATATTAATGTGACACAGAAGTCCTATATATAAAAGATATTTGAATTAAATCACAGAATTAAAATAGTAATTTACTTTCTGCATAAACAAAAACATAAGAGCAGAATGACTGTAATAATTGTTTAAAATAAAGAAGATATCGATTGAAATCGATTGATGTTGCATTGTTTTGTCCGCCATTTTGTACACATTTTCCCATTGAAGAAGATAACGGGCGGGCTAATCAAAAATTTATTTTAGATTAGTTCAGAGATAACTAGAGGAGAGAACATTTCAATTGTCTTCGTGACTCAGTCACGATTTTCATAAAACATATTTAAATATTTTTAATTTTAATTAAAGAGTGTTCAAAAATTCTCTGTTGCTATTGTGGATACAGAGAGTAAGTTTTATACCTCAAATTAAATTTTATAATTAGCTACTCCAAACTACATAAATAACATTAAGTTATTGTTAGATAAAATTCCTAAAAGTGTTCCCTATCCATACAATATCGCTCAAAAAGAAATCAAATAAATATTAATTAGACTCTAACTGATGAAAATCCAATGTATTAGATCAAATAACTTACTGTGAACTAATTTTACTATTTTGAATTATTGAAACTATGCAAGAATAATAATTTTTTCTTAATTTAAACTGACAAATGATTACTATCACAGATAATATTTTAGAAAGAATGACATAATGAAAACGCTGTCTCTAATTTCTGCAATAAATAAAATCAAAACTGTAGCAAAAATCTTGAACTAAATCACACATTTAGTGGAACAAATTCATGATTTGCGTTTCATTTTATTTATTCTTTGAAAGCTACATGCACCTTCTGAAAATTTTAAGTTTAATTTCGTATCTTAACTCCTCGGTATCAAATAATATTATCATGCCATATCATGCAGCTCACCAACTGCCGAATGCCCCACCAGCGGCCGAGCAGTAAAGACGCTGAACACTGGTAGTTCGGTCCGAGGTTCGAATCCCGCGAACTGGCTGGCTGCATGGGCGTTTTCGTTGTTTTCCCCATGTGTAACGTGTATACGAGCCAGTTTTTTTAGAACGCCCTCCACGAAGGCATCCCTCCTCTTAGGCAGATAGCCCTCGAAGCTTTGCCATAATCACACACACCAACTACCGAATGATAAATTCGCTAAGCACTGCTAGTTCCGTCCTGTATTAGATTCCAAGCGAACGGGCTGGCTGCGAGGTCGTTTCCGTCATGAATTCGAAGCATTTTCATTAAAGAGTCCTCTAGGAAGGCATCTATCCGCTTAGGCCAAGATCCCTTGCGTGCTCTTTCTTCATTAAATAAAGCATACCGTACAAATATTTCAAATTCTGGGCATGCCCCTAACTATAGAAGTTTTATTTCGGGAGATACTTTTATCCATAATCTTATTCTGTGCACATTTTTTTCACTAGCCTTTCTCAAATTCAAAATTTATAGGCTGTTTCTGTACTTTTGATTTAGTTCATTATGGCAAAGGACATTAGGGCTATCTGCCTAATATTTCTGCCTACTAAGTCTGTTCATACAATTTTATTGGCGATATTAACTTCCAGGAACAAGGTGCTTCACTTTCTTTTCCCTTTCAGATGGGAGAAAATCACTCTACGGATTGAAAATCGTCAAGCCCAGTTTGTGATGCATCAAGGAACTGGCAAGAGCGCCACCATCGAGATAGATAAGGCCTGCGTTCTGAATCGAAACTGGCTTGTGACGTCACGGTTAAGGGACCCTCAGCAATAACTCACACAATGACACTCCCCGAAACTTTCTCCGTATTCTTTGTCACCGTATTACTGTTAGACATACCTCACACGCTCTTGTTAGATGCTTAGATTTCGTTAGTTTTATTAACATTTGTGCATTATTCATTGCTTTTTCAAGTTGATTGCTTAGTGATACATTTTAGTTTCTGCATATTTCGTGCGAAATTGTGTTATCAGCATTATGCCTTCCCGTTGTATTGTTCCTGGATGCACAGGAAATTATGATAATGGTCCTCGTGTGAGAGTCTACAGTTTTCCATCTAATGAAATTTTAAAAAAGAAATGGCTTAAAGCTATACCTCGGAGTAATTTTAAATTAACGAAAGCTTCAAAAGTTTGCGAACTTCATTTCAAAGATGAAGATATTGAGATGGAGACAAGTGCATATGATCCATCCTCTGGAAAAAAAATAAGTGCACCTCTTTCACGTTCTCGATTAACGAAAGAAGCAATACCATCTTTATTTCCGGGTTGCCCTGAATATTTATCCTATCAGGAACAGAATCGAGAATCTCCGTATGATAAGAAAATACGATTACAAAATCAGCAACTGCATTTGGCTCTACAGGAAAGCATGAAAACGAAATCAGAAGAAGAAGCAAAATACATGTTTTCAACATATGCAAACTTTTTAAAGTGCTTAGAGACTCAGCAAATCCCGTTATTTTGGTCTATAATCAGAAAAGAAGATGAGACATTATTTATTCACATCAATACTCAAGCAGCACCAGTTATTGAAGCCTCTGTTGTTCTTAAATATGATTTAAGTGTCTCAGCATTTATTGGTAATGCTGCAATAAAATCATGCAAAGAACGTAACTTTCCTGTGATAGTTGGAGATATCAGAAATCTCCAAAAAATACTAGATGGTGTACAGTCTCTGTTAATACCTGTAGCTCAAAAATGAAATTCAATCAATTTTGGATACAATTTTGGAATTATTGGGCCTTCTTAAACTGAATGATGAAAGTCGAAGGAAACTGTTATTAATTTTTTGGCCGAACAAGTTTCACTTTTCTCGGTCAATAAAGTTTAAACGGAGATACTCACCACCAGAAATGAAATATTTTCAACTTTATTGCATTCCATATCTCCACACGCGTATAAGTTTTTACGACATTCGGGAATATAATTCTTCCCCATCCAGCAACAGTTAGAAAAATTTTGTACTCAATTTAATGCAAGTCCCTTTAAAGAGCAATTTGAAGTAAACTTCCTTCATTATGCGAGAGAGAAAATTTGTGGAACTTCAACCTCATGAAAGAATTGTTTCTGTAATGATGGATGAAATTCATATTAAACCATATTTAGATTTCAGAGGAGGTAATATTGTTGGCTCTTCTTTTAACACTAAGGATGCAGCAAACAGTGCTTATGTTTTTATGATCCAGAGCTTACTCTCCCAGTATAAAGATGTTGTGCATATTTTACCTGTGAAAACCATAACAAAACAGCGGATATATTGCACTTTATACTTAAAAGATTGTAACAGGATTAGAGAATATAGGGTTTTTCGGGTTTGTGTAGTAAGTGACAATAATTCACTCAATCGTAAAGCTATGTGTTATTTCTCAAATCCACCAAAACTGAGTATCGTTTATCCTCATGCAGTGAAAACAGACAGACCCTTATTTTATGTAATTGATGCAGTACATATATTAAAATGTATACGAAATAACTGGTTGAATCAGAAAAACTTAAATCAGTGTTTTCAATACCCAGATTTTGAGACATTTGAAAATAATGTTATTATGAAAACTGCATCTTTTTATACTCTCAAAAAACTATATGAAGCTGAAAAGAATAATTTAGTTACATTTAATCGCTCTTTGACTTTTAAATCTCTTAACCCATCGAATTTAGAGAGGCAGAATGTCAAACTGGCACTGCAAGTTTTTAATGAACATGTAGTGAATGCTCTAGTGGAACCAGAAGAAAAAAAGAATCTGCAATTTGCCAAAGAAACCGGAAATTTTATTAAAATAATTCATGTTTGGTGGTGCATTATAAATGTAAAAAGTCCCCATAAAGGAATACGACTAAGAAATGAAAATATGAAGAATCCATTAACTAATTTGCCTGACGATGAAAACGTGAAGTTCTTAAGTAAATTTTTGAATTGGCTGGATGTTTGGAAAAGCATGGGATGCACTACAGGGAATTTTACGAAAGAAACTCATCATGCTCTTACTCACACAACACTCATGCTTTGTTGGAAATGAAGGAGTATTGTATCGAAGAGCTGAAAATGAAATATTTTCTCTGTGGAAAAATACAAACTGATTCTTTAGAAGAGAGATTGGGAAAGTATAGATTTTTAGCCGGATCGCAATATCATGTCTCAGTGAGGCAAATATTTGAATGTGAGTCCAAACTCAGATTACAAAACACTTTTTCATTGAGATCTGCAACTTTTGGTCAAATTACTATTGATGAATTTAATGCTGTGTCTTCATATGAAAAGGAAGATGAAGTAATTAATTACTTGAATATTGATGTAACTAATGAAGATATTTTAGGCATCGAAAGTGTAATAACCAGTTTTTGACATACCTTGCAGGATATTGTGTTTATGCCATATGCAAAAAAAGAAGTGTTCATCATGTCTGTCACAGTTTTCAATTGATAAAGAACTGATATGCGAAGCTTCATATCGCTTAATTTCAAGTATGGATAGACGATGTTTAAAGTATCCTCACCCAGACATTGTGAATATTATTGTGCATTGCTATATAGTAGTTCAAAAACTTCTTTCTGAGAAATACGAAAATGAATTTTTAAAAGTTCAAAATCAACGAAATTTTGCATTGACTCTTGCATTTTCTATTATAAATAGGCTAGAATTATTTAATTCAATTGATATATGTGAGTTAGGTCATACTGCTGAGTATTGTGTGAAACAAATTTTGTGGGTGTGCATGAAACATTTTACTTAAGAATTACTGTTGTAAAAAAAATGATAACTATAGAAAACCCTGTTTTAAAAAGAAAACTACAAACACTACAGAAAGCAAATATCTAAAATAAGGTATTTATATTTTAGAAAACATTCCATTGCATTTAAAAAATATCAGTTATTTTATTGCATATTTATTTGTAAACTTTTTGTTGGCTTTTATAAGTTGTAATTTTTTATTCATTATGATTTAAGGGATGAATTTATGTTTACTTTTGACATCTGAAGCATCATCCCTTGTAATAATTACTAAGACTAGTAATATAAAAATTGTCAGCAAAATTTATGATTATTTATTTTAATTGGAAACTAATTTTATATGAAATAACTGTCCTAAGGGGTTTAAAAGCATAACACTTATTTCATTACATAACATGTAGAATATCAAATGCTGAGTAAATTTGATTCATGACATAGTACTGTGTTCTTAAATTTAAATATCAATGCTTTTTGCAAATCATTAAATATCATTTTATCATGATGAAACTTAAATGCATATGTTTAGCTAATATAGCTTCTGTTCACTTTATATATGTTATTATCATGCAATCAGTTTGTTTAAAATTTGTTATGCAATATAAATCTTTTTCTGAGAATGATAGAAAAATTTCTAAAATAATGTATGTAAGACTCGTATTAAGGTAATTAAATTGCGAAACTGCAACTGAAATTTTAAAAATGTACATTTATTGAAGAAGCAGTAGTAATTGAATTCATATGTAGACATACTTGTTTTCATTGTATTTCAATTCAATGCAATTTTAAAAACAATTTTTTTAATTACCTTTTGAATTACAATCTTTGAGTACATGGCACCACCAAAAAAGATATGTAAGGTAAGTTAAAAAAAAAATTGCATACATTTATAAAAAAAAAAAGTTTTGAACGTGATGTTAGGATTTATATTTCTCTTTTCATGTGGATATTAATAGAAAGATATTTTCAGAACAGAGGGGTAACGCAAAAAAAACTTTTTTCCTGTCTTATTTGGAATTTAATATTGATAGTCTTCAGAGCTATGTATAAACATTATCTCAATTAAACTAGATTCTGTCGAATAATTATGTAGCATTAAGAGGAAAACATTAACTGTAATACAGATTAACATACAATATGTAAGTAAGAAATAATTTTAAAGGTAGACTATTTAGTAATTTATTACATTCAGAAAATTTTTCTGACTGATATAAAGCATTTAAATGTTAGTCTAAATATTAAGTAGTCTCTTGCATTCGTTTGATATTTTATAATCCTGCTACATTAATATTATAGATATAAATAAAAATATGCAATAATTATAGATTGAGAGATAATATGTGTTCCCACTGGCAAACATTTTGTTAAAGTAATGGGTGAAACAAAAAATTTGATGCAGTGGTGAGAATCAACGAGAGGCACAAAGACAGTACAGAAAAATCAAATAAAATTTTTGCTACTTGAATTTTAAAACTAATTTTTCCTTCAAAGAAATTATTTGCTTTTAAAAGCACCACACTGTTGTTCTCAAATAATTTTGTTTTGAAAATAAATACCAACAAAAGAAAATGAAAATATTTCATATTCGTATAAGCTTTGTAAAACATTATATTGCCGCTTGTAATTTTGTTTTAGACTGCTTTTATAGTATGAGATACCAATTTCATAGAATAGCTTTAGAAAAACTGGTGTTTAGCAAGGAAGGTAAACTGCACGAAGACCGGTCCCCTAGCAGTGACGTAGTAACTCAGCGCGCAGGCCTTATCTATCTCGATGGTGGCGGCAAGAGTAGGCCAATATATCGCCTGCTGAAAACTAGTATAACCCAAAGTATTGGTGATAAGTTCCAAAGTATTGGTGATAGACAGTGATTGCGTAGCTGCTATATATATATATATTACGATGGACACAAGAAATTGTCAAACCGTTTAGTAGAGATTGTCGTATGGTTTTCATATATTTGTTAAGTGATTTGTTGTCGTTGTTGCCTTTTCCAGCAGTCCACTTAGAATCTAAACATATATCTTCATGAACATTCATCAGTTTCCCTTAAAAAGTCCTCCACGAAGGCATCCCTCCCTTAAGGCAGATAGCCCTCGAGTGCTTTGCCGTAATTTAACAAACCAACCAACCAACCATGAACCTTCATCTAAATTCAATATGACAATACAAATTATAACAGCTAGTGGAATTTTTAACATTGCTTCTGATTCACTTTTGTTGATAATTTTGTAGTACCAGAACGTTTTTAATTCTTGTTACTATTAACGATGCATTGAGGCCTCAAATCATAGCCCAAATTTTATAATTATTAGAATAGCATAACAGTAACATAATTCGTGAATATTCTTAGAATAAACAAATGATATTCGTTTGCTTAGTCTTTCTGGTATCAGGCTTGTTTTAAAAGCTCGTGAAATGTTGCGGAGTGGGCGAAATCTGTGGATCTTATTTGTGTTTTATATATTATCGCAACCTCTTTAGCAGAAAATGCTATTAGTAGAAAATGCTAGTAATCAGAATGTGATAAACTGTGACAACCAAGCGAATAAACTATTCTTCAGGCAAAAATGCTCAAAACAGTCTTTTAGTTAAGCTACGTCGCCATTTTCGTTGCGTTCGTTTTGTTATATTAAAAGTTCGCAAGGTTTCATACAAGTATATTGTGATATTTTTTTGCCTTAAACGCAATCTTGATTTGTTATCTTTAGGAATTTGCCAGGCATGGGAGAAAGCTACAGCAACATTTCCGCAGAATGCAGTATTTTGCAGCGAAATCACTGGAAAGAACAATGATAAGTTGCGTTTGACAGATAACATGTTAGCAATGATGCCACGGCTGCACTCGACTGCAACGTTATGCAGTTCTCAGACACTTTTCTGAGTAAAAGCAGATTGCTGTATACACGAGAAGAACAGAGCCAAAAAGTACAGAATGATTTCGAGAAAAGTGTTTTATTTTCTTAATTTTTTAA